ATTTAGTTTTGAGCTTTATCTAGTGATTCCTTCAAAACTCGTTGCAAGTACTTCGTGATGAGAAAAGAGTAAACTTAGTCTAGATATTTAACAGTTTGGAATATTTGAACTGATTCCACTAGAAAACAAACAAACAAACATACAAACAAACAAAAAAAACAACAAAAAACAAACAAACGATATCTGCCCTGCAGGTTCTATGCCACATTATGTAACGCAGGTGTGGGGAGAGATTTGCAATACGATATTGTAGCTAACTTAGCGCAAAATGCACTGCCAGGAAATGAGATCTGTACTATAATATTGTTCTCGTCCTTCTCTGAATCTGGGGTCTGGAATAGATAATTACATTTTTTTCTTTTTCGAAATAAGATGCAAGCATAGTGTTTTCAACAGCAACGAATATACCCCTACCACAACCTCCACCCCAATACAAAAACAGCAACAACAAGCAACAGCAACAAAACAACACTGATAGCAACAGCACAAATGGCAGCAGGTGTAGTAGCAGCAATAGCAGCAGCAGAAGCAGTAGCAGCAGCAGAAGCAAGAGCTGCAGCAGTAGCAGCAGCAGCAGCAACAACAACAACAGCAACAACAACAGATTTATCACGAAAATTATGTCCCTCTGAATAATGGTATTCTTTTTTTTTTCTTTAGTTTTCGTCTGAGTTTTGAGGCACTTGCAACACAATAAGGTCATTTAAGTGCCGAAGAATGGATGTATTACACAAGAGTAACATACACAAAAAAGAAGGAGAATAGATAAGATGTTTGATAGGAAAGAAGGAGCATAATACCCCACCAGAGCACCCACCAACCACCCACGTAATGGTATTCATCCCCTCACATCAAAACATGCACTTTTAAACACACAATTGAGTTATTTTACTAAATACATCGTCAGCATCATAAGCACCTTCAACAGGGCGCAACGACACCCTTCTTATTATTATTATCATCATTATTATTACCGCTCTAGCTGGCGGAAGCTGTCAAAGTATATGACGTCACCAATACTCGGGAAAAAAAATCGTGCACTTTTGTAACAGCTGAGAAAAGATACAAAATTGGAGAAAAGAGGTGCGGTGCACATCTCAAAAAAAAAAAAGAAAAGAAAAAACCGACTAAAAAAACAAATTTGTTCGAAACTGACTGGCCATCCATCATGCACACGGCTAATGGCCGACATCGTACATTTGTCAAAACTTCACAAGATCCTTTCACTGGATTGGGGAGGTAGGAAAGTAAGGAGGTCACTGGGTATTCTGTATGGGGAAATTTGGAGGTCTTCGTGGGAGTGTTTGTTGATATGATTAGTGTCGAACGATTCGATGTATTGTATGTTGCCTACGTCATAAACAGACGCACGCGCACATTTAAACGCGCACGCATACGTATTCGGGCGCACTCACACACATACACAATACACACTCATACGCGCACGCGTAATATGAAGAAATAGAGAGAGAGAGAGAGAGAGAGAGAGAGAGAGAGAGAGAGAGAGAGAGAGAGAGAGAGAGAGAGAGAGAGAGAGAGAGTATGATATGTATGTATGTATGTATGTATGTATGTATGTATGTATGTATGTATGTATGTATGTATGTATGTATGTGTGTGTGTGTGTGTGCGCGTGTGTGTCTGTATGTGTGTGCGTGCTCGTAGATCATTGGAAAGGATGTGGGAAAATGCGTTGCATGACTGGCGCGCGCGCGCTGTGCGTGTGTGTGTGAGTGTGTATGTGTGTGTGTGTGTGTGTGCGTGCGCGCGCGCACGTGCGTGAATTGTCCTTGTTTTAAGAAGGGAGTGGTGAATGACAACATGTGCTTCTTAAACTGCCTCTTCAAAAAAGTGGGGAGATCCAACAAAATACCAAACTAAAGACATAGAAAAAGCGTGGTGAGGGGATATTAAGACGGTTTGTTTTTGTGTGTTTACAGTTTTGGTCCTCTTGATAAATTATGTGATAAAAAAAATATCGTCTCTCTTTAGACTAGACCATCCGTCATTTTGTCCCCTTCGCATGCCGTTGTGTGCCCTTAAGGCATACAGGCTTGCAATTTTCAAGGTAACCTTTCCTTGTGCACTACGCATAAACTCTGCTACATGCGGCAATTTTCTTTCAGGGGAGGGGGAGGGAGTATTTTTCTTTGAGAGTGAAGGCCCAGTTGAGTTACACAAACAAAAAAAAAACGAAAATCAGAAAGAAACAATTTCTCTGTCTCTCTCTGCCCCCCCCCCCCCCCCCCCCAAATTCTTTTAAGCTCTCTCTCTCTCTCTCTCTCACACACACACACACACATGCGCGCGCGCATACACACACACACACACACATACAGTCACGGTCTCTCTCACACACACTTTCTCTCTCTCCGTCCCTCTCTCTCAGTAGTCTCTTGTCCCCCCCCCCCCCCGCCCCTCGCACACTTTTGCTTTCTCTCTTTCTCTCTTTCTCTCACTGTCTTATTGGTCTCTTACGCCTTCCACATCCTTCCTTTTTTAAAAGCGGCTACGGTGATAAAAACTTCTCACGAAAATTGCATAAGGTTAGATTATAGGCTAGGTGTATGAGGCATCCAGGCGGCTACATTGGTTCAATTCCCAACATATCATTATTAGTAATAAAATGCACAATGGACAGAAAATCAAGGACTGTGAACAGTTCCAGTTCTAAGGATATAATTGTCGTCTAACTTGAAGTCTTGGGGTGGTGCATTGGCGACTGTCATTACTTGTGTCTTCACCTCCTTTTGTACTGCCCTAGGCTACTACATGTAATTAGTCCAGCCTGAAAATACAAGGATGCAACTCTGGTTGTTAAGGTCTGGACGTCGCTTTCAGTTTCTCCAGGTAAGACCTATGTTATCAACAAAATCTAGGTCTTTATGTTTTTGGGTTTTACCATTAGTGCTCCAAGAGATTCTTTCCATCTCAGTAGTGACTTGTTCCATGACCCAGCTGATAGCTGCTGAGATGAGTATCGGTGATAACATGCAGCCCTGTCATATTATATCCCTGTAACAACTGTGAACCAGTCGCTGGTGCCTGCATAATGCTATTACCCAGCATCGTGGTGGTTCGATATAATAAGTACTTTCATTGCAGCAACTTCGTCTCCTGCTATTTTGTTGCGTCTTAAAATTGCCCATAGTGGTGGTCAGAGTAGACTGTCAAACGCATTACCAAAGACTGTAAAGTTGACAGATTAGACTCATTCTTCTAAACATTTAAATAGTAAAGAAGTAGGACCAAGCAGTGGTGTTTTCCTTCAACCACTCATACGCAGCCCTCAACAGCTGCTACCAAATTAGCCTTTATCTTACTGGAAACCTCTAGTTTAGTTTGGTTTCACTAAGAGTTTTAGTGGTTTTTTCCACAGCACTTGCAACACATTAAGGTAATGTATAAGTGCCGCAGATTAGAGGTGTTAGAAGAGAGTTACAAACACAAAAAATACGGAGGAGAGATAAGTACGATAGACGTTTGATAGGAAAGAAGGAGCAAACCACACCAGAGCACCCGCCAACTATACCCACTGGAAACCTTTTCTCAAGACGAGCAGGTAACTCGTCTAATTAGGTTTTCTTATACTTACTTACAAACGCAAAGAACTCCTCCTATAACAGTGTGCAGCCTGTTTTATTTCACCTGTTAAGCAACGCAAAGACACTAATAATGTATCGAGTTTAAAAAACAAATTTTATTCAACACAGCATACAATATAAAACCATAACAAAACGTAGTACTACCCCGGTACCCCATTACTGTCAACACATTCACCCAGCAAACTTGGGACACACAGGAATGTTGCATGCAGAAGGCAGCACAAGTGTTGAAGTTGAAGCTATAACAAAGTAAAAGGTCCTGTGGGTGTAGGGGTCTGAGAGGTAGCTCTTGTGTAATTGTAGATGTTCTTTTTTTACATCACAACCCTATTTAAACAATTTAAATCGTTTAGAAGGCGGGCTCTTTCGAACTGCAAAAATGGAGATACTGGTACTAAATAAAACTTTTCCCCACACGGGAATCAAACTCATGTCTTCTGTGTGCGGCAGCAAAAGACCGTACAGCTACACCAGACGCTGGAAGTGGATCTTTGAATGGCACAGATCTCTCTTGACTCAGCTCCACACTGATGGTTATCAATGTTTACTTTGGCCTAGTTCTGATGGGTTGTTTCTCAATGTAAATGGAGCATTGAGTTTGAGAGAGAGAGAGAGAGAGAGAGAGAGAGAGAGAGAGAGAGAGAGAGAGAGTAAAGGGAGGGAAGGGAAGGGGGAAATGGAGACAGAAAGAAAAAGAAAGAGAGAGAGCTGGAGAATAACCAACGGGGGTTGAAAAGAATGTGTCACGATGCGGTGGAATCAGGCATTCTTCAATTTTGGGACATATGGAGCTATTGGTATCATCTTAAAGCTTGTTCATTTCACCTGCTTTTGATGAAAAAAACATCCATCACTATTTATGTTGGATACAAGTCAAGATTATCGGCGATTGAAGGAGATGGGGGTCGCCTGGTTTCAGAGGTAACATAAGCTAGAAAAAGGCCGCCAAAGTTGAGTTATTTCTTTAGCTTGAGAGTCCGTGGAAACTGAAAATTTACATTTTTTATGCCTTTAATCAATGTTTTTCAGTAAAACCCACACAGAAATGTGTTCTTTAATGGGCATGAAAGGTGTTGAGCTAAAAAACAAAAAGTCGATAAAAATTCCCAAACCTGTGGAAAAATGTCAATTTCTTGACTTTCACTATTCTGACGAGCGCCTGATTTCACCACGCTGCCTCACATATGAGTGATGGGAAGAAATGGTTGCTGGAACAAATCAAGGATGTACACAGTACTGTATGATGGAGAACTAATGTTGGAATTTGACTTTGAATTTTAGAAGTCGTATTAGCACCTATAACACACACATACATAAAAATAATGATCACAAAGCAATAAGAACACAGAATAATGCAAGATGTGAACAGGAAAGACAACTGCACTCCGTAAAATATTCATGAGCAGGTAGGAGCACTTTACTCTTGTCTTCAAATGATACCTTCAGCACACTTAACACTCAAGATATACTTCAAATTACACAGGCACAATCAAGACCACTCAGAACAACAAATAAAAACTATGGGTAAAGCAGAATATAGAAAAATGAAATAAAACAGAAAAAATAGCACTAGAGCTACATATTTTCTGGTTAACATCAAAAGAAACCAGCATCAGATAAGACGAGAAAAAACGATTTAAAAAATGTAAATTGGTACATGCATAGCGAAACAGGCAAACTTATAAAATTTCTTCAATAATTAATTGTCAAGTTCAGCTAAAGAAGTGAGTGAATAAGTCAGCAATTATGGTTGGTTAAAAAAGGTTAAAACAGAACATAAACGAGTTTGTAAGTAGACATTAATGAACACATAAAAACAATTTTCACCTCCAAAGTCTTAATGTCTTTTACAGATGACTACGGATGAGTTGATGTCATTGGGGGAGTGAAAAAAAAAAGATAAACTCATCTCTAAAGTCCAACTAAATGGTTAGGTATTATGATGAAGAAGAGGTGCTGGGACCCACAAAAAACATCAACTTAACTGAAGACAAACTCAAGTGAGCTCAACACAAGCGAAATCAACTGTATCATTGTATAAACACTTACACAGTACCACCGACAGCTATCTGTCAAGTTTTACCATTGAGGTTTTCACTCTTCCATGTACAACAGTTTCATGTTCAAAATATTAAAAATGCACATTGGAGTTCTTGTATCCTTTAGAAAAAAGGTTTTGTTGAAAAGTCACACACCAAATAATATATATGTTGGGCGCGATCTGTCGATTTGCGTGATCCGTCGATCGCGCAGCGCATTTGGTTGATCGAGGAAACGCGTGACAATCTATCGATTGTTGCGCATTTTGTTGATAAGCGGATCTCGCAGCGTTTTTAGTCGATCCGTTTAATTATGCATTCTATAGATCTTACCCCTGAGTTTTGTTATGTTTTGTAGTCGTCCAGAGTGTAATTTAGTTTCACTCTCCAAAAGTCAAACCGAAACTGAAAGGAAGTAACTGGAAGTTAGGGTTACAATAACTAACTACATCGCAATAACGGAAGTTGAAATCAGGGTTATAGGTCGGTGAGTATCACTCCGAACACTTATTCAATACGAAGCGGTTCACGGCGATAATGAAGAAAGAAGTGCAGTTATCGTCTAAAAATCCTGGGTCTGCGTTACTGACAAAAGAGAAGTTTGACATGATTGATTGTCAAACATTCGAAGCAGCCAGGAAAAAACCCACCGATGCCCATTTTAGACATTGGGTAAAAAAAAAAGAAGAAGCGATTTTCCTTGATGAACATGCCTAGCATTGGTTTGGTCGACGTTCTGGAGGTCCCAAATGAAAAAGGCAAGGTAAGACATTTCTTTTCAATTTTCTTTATGTAGCTTTATGACTTATATATCACCATACCCCCTTTTGAGTTTAGGCTGGTAATAACTCTGTGTGCTATATGTTTTATTATGTAATTATTGCAGCTGATATTGTGGCTATTGTTAAGCTATCTGTTGTCTTATCGTTATTATTATTATATTGGTTACATTACATCACCCAGGACGTTTTATTGTAAAAATGACAATTTTTTATTAACCAATATTTATCAACCGCTGTCAGTAAAAAAATAAAAATCGACAAAATGCGCAGTAAGTATATATTTCACGGATCAACAAAAAGCACTGCGCGATTCGCTGATCAACAGAATGCACAACAATCGACGGATTGTCGCGCATTTCCTCAATCAACCAAATGCGCTGCACGATCGATGGATCGCGCAAATCGACAGATCGCGCCCGACATATACATGTATATGGTACACACATTTGCAGACTTGAAAATATTTCTGAATGCTTACGTGTAAGCAATATCAGTACCAGTCTCCCTGATAGACACACATACTTGGTCACACCTCAGTGGCATTGATCTAAAAACACAAACACCGTCATACATGCATATATGGCAACAAAACAATAGCAATCATTTATACATCTTTATAAAAAAACAAAAAACAATTTTCCTATTCATTGGTTAAGGATTCCATCCTGTGTGAAGAGTGCCCTATAAAGTTCACTGCCCTAACCCAGTGAGTGGTATTTTGTCAATCTCATTCTCCAGTGTAAGCTCTCCAAATACACAGCATAACACACAAACAAGCATTTACACACAAACTTCTGCACTTTACAATAAACCTCTTGCTCTGATACAGGCATAAGCAGCAAAAAAGATCACATACTCTGAGAAGATAACTTTTTTGGTAGTTACATGTTCAAAAAGCTTAACTATGAGATGCAACTGTATAGTACAATGAATTTCTCAGTCTGCAGCAACAGAGTGAGTGAAAGAAAATATCTGTGCCAGTGTGTGGCCATACAAGCTGCACATTTTTCTTCACATTATACACACAATTCAGTTCATCCACTCTTAACGCCTATAAGACTCCTCACACCCTGTCTTTCTCCCTTTTGAAGGTCAGTGTCCTACTGGATCACAGAGCAAGCCATTTCTGATTCATCACATCCTCTACAAAGACAGTGGCTCAAGCGGAACTTTCCCTATAAATAAAGAACAAAAAATCCTGAAGCAGCTCGATTCGAGCATTGAACTTCTGTATAATTGCCAAGTTTGATAGTGACAGGATCAAAGTGTGAGAAACTCATTTCATCAGCACATCGATAGGAATGAGCTTTACAGATCAGACCAAACATCAGATTCAAATACTCTTGATTCTTGTTTACTATTTAAAAGACCGCTGCAAGTTGAACGTATTTAAAAACCGTAAAGTTGAAAAATGAGAACATAAGAAACTGAACAAAAGGTGAAGAAACTACCACACCAAACTAGATATCTATGTGAACAGACTTGAAATATAACATTTCACCTTTCTGAGATGAGAACACATGGAGGGAAACATTTTGAAGTTTTATCACTTAGGTCCGACGGCAGGGAAAAGATAAAGAAAAAAAAGATCATACAAAAATAGGATATGAAAGAATATGCCATCTTAATAAAAATGTTCATACATGACGATTTTCACTACAGACATCCATACATTATAATTCACTAATAGATGTTCATACAATGAAACTCGGATATATAACGAAGTCATTCAATATAATTGAATCCGAGTATTCGTTATATCAAACATGAGGGTTTTGCGTAGATTACTGGCTCTGAGGAAGTAATGTAAAAAGGGAAGTAACACATGGTATTCTGAAATTCTTGCTTTTTTTAACCCTTCTCGACTCTCTCAATCAAAAGCAGTTTGGTATCAAATGAGAGGAATTTTCATTTCCGTACAGAAGAAATGCTGGAAAATTCCAGGAAAATACACTGATCAAGCATACACTATGCAATGGGGCCGATTCCTTCAAATGCACGGCTGAGTCATCTATGACACATTGTTTGCCGAACAAGTTGTGTTGCTGTGTAGAGCCTAGCATATATATACAACATATGATTTCAGACAACACATTTATTGGTATGAAAAAAGGCCATTCATTAGTCGCAAAGATATAAACAACAAGCTATGCGAATAATAGTTCACTATACAGGTGCCATGGATGATTTTCTGGAATAGATAAGGTTCGTTACGCTAGAAAAATGAGCGAGGTCACATCAGTGGGGAATGTTCACCCTGCAAGCGACTTCATTGAATCTGAGCTTGCTCATTTATGTGTTTATTGAATCTGAGTTATTTTTAATTTATTTTAATAAATGATGAAAAACAATGGGAATTCATCTCCTTTCATTGAATCCAAATTTTCATTAAATCTGAAGTTGTTGAATCTGAATTCCACTGTACATCATTTCCCTGTAAAAAGGGCTGCGCTGTTTACCGACATTCTGTGCATTCATTCCAATTCCCTTGGCAACCTGGCAAACCGACACACGCACCATACAGCATTACAAGAAAAGAAATAAATTAAACCAGTAAAAAGTTTTCCCACATACAGATGACTTGTAACACCACCCACAGGAATACAGAACACGGGGCAATAAAGAACCTGCGATATATCACACGATAACATGCAAGCCGTACAGCAATAGCTGGTACCCTGAGACACGCACACATGGAGATCAGGGAAGATCACTTGGTTTTCTTGCTCTCCGCCTTTGTGTCCTCATCCTCATATGACACACCAAACTCATTCGCTCGCTTCTTGTCTACTGGGTAGAGCCTGCAGAGATAAATCGGCATAAAATGGCATCTGGTCAATGTTATATTCACAAGTAGGCTACAATTCATTGCTGTTCGAGTTTAAGTAAGCCATGAGACAAAATCAGAATATTCATAGACAATTACATTTGCATTCCATATGGACAGCTTAAAAAGATTGTTTTCATAAGAAATAAAACATTTTGCGAAGCGCCTCTTCCCAAACAATCTTACCTAAAAGATGCAACTGGATTTGCTCATTAATAGAAACAATAAAGGCCTTTTAAATTTGAAACACCTACTGAAAAATCACCTTTCTCTTTTCCCACAATAGCAACATTTATTAGACCCAAAACGATAGACAGGGTAACTCACCATCTCTGATACAAGTAGATGACAAACACAATGTCGTCTCGGAAGCAGGCCAAGCGGTGAGCAGCGGGCATTGTGATAATGAAGGCAAACACATCGTCGATGAACGTATTGAAAGCCTTGAGTACACAAAGAAAAATTAAACATTGTTAAAGGTAGAATAAAAACAGAACAAATATAACTGACGATTTTTAGAATTCATGAATCATTTCTTAGTATTCAAATATCTAATTTTCCCCCCTCCTCATACCGATACTGTTATTACTAAATACATTAAATTTTCACAATTATAATTAGATGTGATTCAAGTTGGCTTAAACACAGCCAAATACGACAAGCAGCGATAAAAAAAATAATCCAATGCATATCTCTAGCAATTATGAAAATGGAAAGAGCGACTGAGGCATAACAAAAACTTATCTACCAGTACCTTTACTCCGACAACATTACATAACGTCATATGCTCCTAAAGTAACCTGAGAAATGTTTAGCTGGACCTTCAGTAAGCTAATATTAGAGGCTTATATTGCATCTAGTAGCTCACCTTGTACATGAACGCTCTCCAAGGCAAATGAGCGACAGACTTGAGCTGAAAATAAAAATGGACAACAGTAGACAAGTTGTACTTTGGGAATGCTACATGTCCCTCACATGCTATTTAAACAAACCCAAGAATTGTCACCTAAATTAAATGAGATGAGCTGAAGACACACTAAGAAAGCTAGTTGCATTTTTTTAAAAAAGCAAAACTTCAAAGATATGAGTATATAAATCAAGGCAAATTCAGTTCTTCTGAAAGGGTAACAAAGTCATTTAGTTTTCCACAAAGTGCAAGTTTAACAATTCAATTTGATCAAGGTTGAGGTTTGAATCACTAGTAGGTTGTTGCCAGCCACTCTCAAACTTTCAAAATCACCACAGGAACTCTTCTAGTGAAAATACTTTCTCCTGTATAACAGATGGCACATTCTATTTCAATAATAAGCATTCAGAAAGGCTAACACCACATATTGCAGTCGCATGACACAAGCTCCCAGTTTTACAGTCAAAGAGCCAATTGTGGGTTTTCTTACAGACTATCATTTTGACTATTAAGGAAAATAACCTCAGTAATTGGTGAAGAGAGCATCTATTGCATGCATTGTTCTTGATGAGTGGTAGATTACTGTGAACCAGCATGCTGACTAAATATAATTCAGACCTTATCTCTCCCTCACCTTATAGTTGACAAACAGTTGTGGCAGCATGAACAGAAAGCCGAAGGCATAGACTCCTGCAGGGCACACAAAGGAAAATTCATCAGCATCATCCAGAAAAGAGTTGTCTTAGCAGACTACATTCAATTCAGGACATTTATCTTCAAAAAGAGACCACCTTTGTGTTCAACCCATCACGCCAAAGATTTTGTTCTTTTATATCATATTAGACATTTTCTGCAGAGAAAGTGACTGAACAAAAGCTTCAGAAAACTTATATCAGATAAAAACATAACGCATCAATATACCCTTGTATCAATATGGACCAAAAATATAACCTTGTAAGGAAGACCTCCAACTACATAAACCCCCTCTTCAAAGAGCACAAAAACTCACCCCTGCTTACACCAAACCATGCACATACACACACACATAAACATACATATACATTTAAATGACACCCATACACGTGTTAGTATGTACTAAAGCACACACATTATGTACAAACACAGAAGTAAGCATGTTCAGACATCCTCACAGATCCAAGAATGAGGAAAAAAAGCACTAGGATCAGCACAAATCTAGTTTGTTGGAAGCGACTCACTCACCATTGACTAGACTGTTGATGCACCATGAGTACCAGCTGGTTAAAGATAAAAAAGGAGCAAAATGTAGAATATTTTTTAGATTTCAGTAATGAAGACTACACTGACAAAAAATTATCATTTCGTGTTGGAAAAAGACAAGACATAGGCCTACAGACAAAAATAATAGTTGGTAAATAAATAGTAGGATCTACTCATGACACCATTCTACTTCCCACAAGAAAAATTTAGGTCCAACATAATATATACTTCAAGTAAGTGTAAAAGCCTAAGACAAAGAGACCATCTAGACCAATAGTCTTTCAGCCTCTCTGATCAAAGGGTCACATGACATTAAAATAACTTTCTTGGTTAGCCAGTTTCTAGTAAATCACCATTTGGTGTTTCAGTCCCTAAGAGTTACATGCAGCGTCAAGGTTAAAAATATGTTCCAAACACTTTCATTTACAAGTCCAGAAATGTTTAATTTCCACATGTATAACTCACTCTGACTTTATGTAAGTTCCACAGACAATTTTGACTCATCAAAGGTAATAAAGAGCCAGGCAGAAGTGAGACAACAGATGGAAACTTTTCTGTTTTACTTCTTGTAGAGCAAAATAGAAATGCATCAACAAGATAGCAGCCATTTTATGCTGGAATAAAAGTAAAAGGACACAGACAGTCAGATGTAGGACGTACAAGTGGCGTCTTCCAACCTCCATGAAATGAAAGAACAGACAGCAAAAAAAAAAGAGAAAGGCAGCAAGGCATGGATGCCCCTGTTGGATTTACAAATGCTGAGTCTGAGTTCATCTGAGTTAAAAGAGAAGCCCAACTACACAACAATGTTCACTTTGAGCATGGAACAAGCAAGAGGAAAGATTGAATAAAAAATATACCATCTGACGTTTTTTGCTACGTGTTATATTATAATGACGTAAACCAAGAGAATCAACTGGGGGCTCTCGTGGTCCACAGGTACTGTGTTCACCTCTTGCTCACATTGTAAAGATAGACAAAGATCTAAACAAGCACCAAAGAAATTGAATGTTCATAGCTGATGTTTCTCCTTTGATCCAAGATGATATAACATTCATAAAGGGAGGGAACCAAGACATTTGGATCAACTTATGTCAGAGATCTCATGGCTGGGGTTTCTTCCTTTTAAAATATACTTGCCACGCGATGGACCAATAAAACAAATTGTTCAAAGACCTCACTGTAACCTACCTGCAGCTACATCTTTAAATTAAAGCAAATCATTTCAAAATATGGAATACTATCAAAAATGCAAAAACAATTTATCAAATGGAACAGTCATTAAAGAAACCTTGGTATCAAGCTTGTAAACAAATAAACATTTTTTTTCAAGGTGCAACAATTCTTTAGGGGGAGCACCCCGAAAGTCCCGTTCGGCTCAAACCTATGGATTTTAAGTTGTAGACATTTTTAGCTTCTTCAGCCTCTCTTACAATTATTTCATCGAAAAAGAACCCCTTAAAGTCTTATTTCTTCCCATACAGGGCATGTTTGTCACCACCATTTCCTCATAAAGCAATCTTTTATTTTTCTTTATCGCCCATTTTCTTCTCGAAATGTGGTTTTTCTACATACCACCATTTTTCATCCAATCTTCAAGAAATTTTCACAGAATGAAGAAAAGATGTAATATTAAAACTTCACAATAGTTTTTTGTTGGTGGTGTTTGGAGCATGGATTTTCACGGATTTTTTTCAAATGTGAATACTACCTCCGGAAAAAATTCATTAAAAAGTTCCTAGTCACGGCGCACCGGCAGTGGAATTTTAGTTGCCGCGGGGGGTTCCCCGCCGGGCGCCTTAACACGTCGGGGTCACGGGGGTCAGCTCCCTGTCGCCGCTCTGTCTGGGCCGACTTAATTTTTGGTACTTTTCAACGTACAATTTAAGGTGTATCCTTGTATTTATGGTAATTCTCATTTAGTGCACCCAAAGCACGCATTTCTGCTCTTGAGACTCAAAAAAGAATGGACGTTGTAACTTGTCTGGTTATTTCGTTAGACGCGCTGGAGTCGGCAATGCTAAATTGTAATTTTTTTGGGACTAGCGTGAATGAAAAAAAATCAATATAAAAAAAACGCATCGTCAAAATCTGTCGAACTTTTGGAATATGAACGACATAACATTAGCGCAGATACTCAGAAAAGATGGTATCTGCGCTTATTATAGAAGGCTGTAAGTTTGCAATTTTATCCATCGGCACACAATTCGCTACGAAGTAATTCCTCCAAATACAACTTTATGTGTCTAATATAATCATGAATATTCGCATATTTTCTCGAAAGTTTATAAAAGTTATCATGAAGTTTCTCAAGGAAAAGTACAAATCGATTTTAGTGCTAGAATATATCTTCAACGTAGATCTAATACACGAACAGTATCTGTTACACTCCAGAAATTGCTTACTTTTCTTAAAACGCTAAGTCTAGGTTTTGTAAGTTGACTGAATAATAAGGATGACTTCTCGTAATTGGGTTATAAGAATAATTTCTAGCTTTCCAGGGACACTGAATCAGCACCAGACTTTTCCAGCTTTTTTTACGTTTCTATGACCATTTGCAATAACTGACAATGTGACTGATTTCTTTACATTCATAATTGTGTCCTACACAAAAACTAAGAATGAATGTTTTAGCTGTCATTATTTTTATTCCATACTAGAAGTTTATCCCTACCCATGTATTTACACGGTTTTGTGGTTTTTTAAATCGCTTATATTATATCTTTTTAGTTGTATGCAGGCTGCCACAGACACAGCATGATTCATGAACAAACGCAGAGTAACTTTCTCTTGTTTAATAGTCAAATAAGAGCTAACGCTGATCGTCTTTAGTTAAAATATGCAGATGTGCATCTTTCTTCTCTTATAACTTGACTATTACTACTACCGCAGATTTAAGATTTCTCATGGTAAAAGACATGATATTCGTAGTCAGTTTAACACAGAATTTGGAGAGATCTGTCGTGCCTTTTTAAAAATAACAATCATTTATTCATAACTTTGTAACTAAAATAGGACAAATTGGGTACTCTACAAACACTTGTCTAGAACAAAAACTAAGGCACAGAAACTAACCATTCTAACGCAGAATAAATCTCAAGACATTGAGCTTTTAGTACATCCGCGTAATGGTTTGCTGTGTGGGATGGGGAAGAAGTTATATCGTTTTAAACATAGTCAAAAATGCGAACTTCCCGACCGACACCGGCAAAGTCGCCTCAGGGCTCATTAACCCCGTGACCCCGAGCCGGGGAGCTCCGGCGGGCTGCTGAGTCACGCGAACTAAAAGTAACAGAATCGGGCGAAAAGTGACGCCGTGTAGTATGTTTAAGAAAAATTCATCACTCAGATTTGGAGATCAATTGTTTGCCAAGATGCATGCAAAAAACAATTCATTTCCAGGAAAAACAAGTGCGGTATTAATTATATAAGAAATGTCACAAAAATCCAATATGGCCGCCATATCCATAGAAATTTTTTTTCTTCTCCAATTTGAATGCAGATTTTAAGACTCATGACTATGCTTGTTATAAGTGTGAAATTTGGTAACATTTGATCCACTAATAAGCTTGCCAACTTTTTCAAAACCCTGTCAAGGACACCCTACCTTAAGCATCAGAATATATGTCAACTAAAAAAATTGCATCAAGTGGGACTGGTTTTAGTGTAGCATATGTAATAAGGCTCTTAAATTCCCCAATTGCCAAATCTGGGATATTTCCGTGAAAATTCAGGACAGTTGACAAGCCTGCATAAATATGAAGGATTACTTTCCAAAGCATATCGGGAATCTTTTTCAAAGTGAGAAAAATGTATAACCAACTTCCTCTTTCACTTTGACACAGTTTTAGATGTTTTATGAATATTTTGAGTGTGTACCCCATTACGTGTTTCTTGTGATCTGGAAATAATTACGCCAAAATGTGGAAAATAATTCCGGGGTTAAAGAGTTAAAAAGCCTGCTATGACAACCGAAGGACTCACCTCTTGTGCTGCACGTAGAGCAGAGAGTAGACGGCCCCGCCCAGACACAGAGGGTAGAGCACGTACGACAGATACTTCATAGCCTGGGGCATAATAAACATACAACATATCCTCAGATAATAGTCTTGACTCCCAACATACACCATATACAGGTTTCATAACATATTCGCTTTCCTCATTCTGCTTCCCTTGTGACCCTCAGCAGATCACGTTTTATTATTTTTTAAACGCCACTACAATATCTAAATTTGGCTCTGAAAGCTGTGACCATGTAATTCAGTCAAAGTGCTTATAGTATAGTCATGTAGCTTTGGACAAGGCTTGCATTAAATCACAACTAACCCCTTGGCCAGCCTAGTTGTTTCAGTTCACTACTTCAATCACACCTCGGGGGTGGGGGTGGGGGGGGTACTACTTAATGAATGTTTATTTATTCATGGAACCAGCAGGGAGGTAACATGAAAATGTTTTGCTGCATGGTCTATGAAATGTCAATTTGTTAAATCTATATATATATAAAATCTACTGAAGTATCCTGAGATTGACATAATATACAGGAATTCATACAATAATTGTAATACTGATGGAAAATTTTTGGAAAAGTTTTTCTCATGATCTATACTTCATGCACGAAACAATAACTTAAACATGAGGCCACTTTTCATTTGTCCCCTCCAGTGATGGGGTGACTATTTCTTCCACCAAGGAGTATTCTCCAAACAAGACTATTGCATGGGCCTGGTCATACAAGATTCAGCTTTATACCAACAAAGCACCTATGTTTGTGTTGCAATGGTTAGACACTTCATCTCGCCAGATGTTGTTATCGATCCAGAAAAAGGTAAGGGTCTGACTTTCCCGAAAGGGAGATATTAAACGATGCATCTCCATTTCTCTGCTGGTGCCACATACTGCGAGGGTAGGCTGAGACAAGTAGGGTCCATTAAGCCTGCCACCTAAATGATCCAAATCGTGACATTGGTCTGAAAAACATTTGTTTGTCATTCGCAGGAGGTCAAGTAGATCACGCTGTGCTTTCACTTACCTGAGAGTCAAACTGTTCAGTCTCTTTCTCCTTCTCAGAGCTGTCACCAAACTACACAGAGAAAATTAAGATTTAAACAAAACTGTTACCAAACTGAACATAATGAAAAGGGAAATTTAAACATGTTAAACAAAAGGTGTATACTTTCAAGGTTCTAAAAGGAAAACTGCTGAGAAAAAAAAGGCAATTTTACAAATTCATCAATCTATATTCTGACAACGAAAGTTTTGCTAATGTTTTCTTGCTGTAGGTTGTTATTATTTTCTTATAAGAAAACAGAAAATCCATGTAATTGTACATTGAGTGAATTGTGTTGCAACTGGAGAAATAATTATTTAAAACGTTAGAATCACATATTTGCATAGTACATTTTAAAGTACTCTAAGAGGAAGAAAAACTCTAAGAGGAAGAAACCCATCAATCGTCAGGAGCTCTCTTTACACTTTGTTTCTTGCTCTACTTGCCAAGTATTGCATCAGACACAATCGGTCCCCAACAGGAAACCAGGTTTTTATTGAGATAAAGAAAACTACCCTTTCAAGAGTTCATAATGTGGTGATTTGGGGGTGTAATAGTTTATGGTGAACAAACTTGTATGACAAGGTAGTAGTAAAGTTGAAAAGAAAGAAAAGGAGCAAAGCTGACTATTCCAAAGCACTCACCAACCACTCACTGATAACATATTGAAACAAGTACCAGAGAGAAAAAAAAAAGAGAAGTTAGGAGAAAGTGAAGAGTGTGACAAGAAAACAATCACTGCAACAAACAAACAGCCACCTTAAATTTGGGAATAATTCCACTCCAGTGAACTGTAACCTTCAGAGCTTTGGTCACCTTCCAGATCTGTTGAAGAAAACACATGAAAATATAAGCACAAAAAGGCCAGGACAATAACTGTTAACGTTGTAAGGATCAGTTTTAGCCGCTGAACAAGATACATTTACAGTGCACCTGGCAGCGGATTACCAAGATGTATGAGGTACATCTACAGTGTAGTCAGGGTGTTACACAGTTTCGTTTTTAAAATGAGTTGTAGTTGTTATAGATCCAGCGTTTTTAAAAATGAGAGACTTCAATATTAGCAGAATTAGCAGAAAAGAGTTAAATACGGTCAATAATTCCAGAAATCTCAAAAAAAAATTTTTTTCCATGCATTCCATCTAATCTTTCACAGACAACGAAGAGATTGTGTTTCACCTCAATGATCATTCCAACTCCACAAGGCACCAGGACCAGAAGACTTGTGTTCTCGTCCAGAAGATACAGGAAAATGATGCCCGTTGACAGGCAGCGCCAGACCACTGAGAAAAAAAAAAGATGAGAAAAGTAAGAGCCCTGATAACTATGAGAAATCACTTAGTTTTTTTCAAGATGAAAACACAGGAATTATCTGTTTAAAAAAAATATTTTTAAATGAATACATCCAAAGCTAAGAAATCGGTTGTTGAGACAATTCAAGGTCCTAAGCTGGAAAGCTCAATAAGCCAAGTTTTTCTCTTCCTTCTTCAAATATTTCCCCATCTTATATCTCCATCCTGTCAATCCTTGAAATGACTCATTTGAAGTTTGGTAGGTGGGAAACATCACCAAACATGAGCTAAAATGTACAAGATGAGAAACTATATTGCTGATCTCAAAGCAATCCCAATCCTATATTAGATTAAATGACGAGTAGAAGTTTACTGCACATTGGCATGTCAATGAAGCCGTTCAGCTTGGAGAAGAAAACATTGGTAACACAGAAAAGTTGTAGAAGACTGTATACAAACAAATGCCATAACTCACCCACTCTCACAGACAAACCAATCATGGTCTTTTTCGACTTCCAGTAGAGGATGTCATTCTTGAAGGCCAGGAAATCAAACAGTAGCTGCAGAGTGAACAGGACAAAAAGGAGAAAATATTACCCAACCATTCTCACAAATGAGAAGTAAGGTGACAGTGCTAGATACTAGATAGTTCCACAGTAAAAGGAAACTTTACTCCCCCCCATTCAGACCAACTTGACAATGTACACACATCTGAGGTGTCTCCACTCCCTATGGGGGCCACATTTGAGGTTGCGAAGGCAAAAAACACTTTTAACTATTTCAGAATCAGGGATTGAAATTTACTTTTACCGGTTCCATTATCATAGTCACTTTGGACATTAACATATTTTCACAACAGTGACCAACACCTAATTTCATGAACTATAGCAGAAGAGGCTGTTGGCTAGTTGTTTTTCTTCTTCTACATGCTTACTGATTGAAAGTGTTCAATGTTAAAAGAAAAAACATCCCCAACTTTCCACATTTTTCTTACTGATTTAAACTCTTGAGGAACAAATTTAAGGCCCAATAGTCGTCATGTGAAACACTGCCACCATCAGAAAGTAATACTTTTATTTCAAATTACATACGTGAAAAGCTGCCACAGTGAAAGTCAGCATCAAAAAGTAAAAGTTTGTGTCAGCAAAAATCCCTTTGATCTCATCTGTATCTTTCTCTGTGAATCCTGTGAAGGGTAGAATATTTGCAGTTAACAAAAGGAACACATTAGTTTTTAGTTTTAGTAAGAGTTTTACGGCGCTCCCAACTGCATAAGGTCATATGAGCGCACTAGGAACACATTAAAATAAAAAGCTTGCTTGACTGTGAGGTATGCTTTAAATACACATTCAGGAATCTCACTTGGCGTCCATAAAAAAAAAAATAACAACCATTATGCATGTAAAATATAAATATAAGTGAGGCATTGTGGTGAAATCAGACGCTTGTCAAAATAATGAGATCGAAAGAAACCAGCCTCTTTCTGGCTATAAGGCAACTTGTATTGATTTTGTTTTCCTCAACATCTTTTTTAGTCATTTCAAAACAAATTTCTCTGTTGATTTGTACTGGAAAATGTTTACGGAAGGCATAAAAAATGTAAATCTGCAGTTTCCAATGACACTCAAGATTCTGAAGTCACTAAATTAGGCAGCCATTTTGTCACCAATTTTTACCTTTGAGACCAGACAACCCCCACCTCCTTGCACCACAAATATCTCAATGTCTATATGAGACTGGTATTTTTTTTCATCAAAAGCAAGACGAATGAACAAGCTTTAAGATGATACCAATAACTCCATATGTCTAAAAATTGATGATGGCCTGACTCCACTGTGTCATGGCATGAAAGTTATGAGGGTTGCAATCATGGTTCAGCTAAAGAGAGGTTTTATTAAATGTGAAATGGCAATAAGTCTAAGAAGACTCCTCTGAACTACAAGAAACAAATATAACAAGGCTCTTCATCACAGCCATGAAATCATTATGCATTAGGAAAAGAGAAAATCTTAGAACTTGTTATCAGCCACAATAAGAAATAAATTCTTGGCATAAAGTAAGAAATTGGTTGTGCTAAAAATGTTTTTAAAAGGCAATTTAGAATTCAAAACTAGAGGAGGTACTAGATGTAAACTATAATGCATAATGAAAAGGTAACATTTGGAAGACATGCTTGTACCATTTAACTGGCCACAGCACACAGCATATTGTCACCCTTCCTATTGTTTCAGTGATTGCAGCTGTAACTCATTCTCAAGAAAATATGCATAATACAAGGCACAAGGAAAACAAATATGTCACTGCTGAAAATTAATAAAACCAGACAAGAATCTTAAAACCCAAGGTCACATTACTGTAAACCATAACTGTCACAAGTCTAGTACCGTAAAAATACAAGAATGGCCGATATCGCCATACAAGTCATAGGAGAGGAGAATTGACATCCCCAATAACACCCCCACCCCCTAACCCAACTCCCCCCCCCCCCCCCGACAACCTGATTCAAAACATTTATTAACAGATATAAAAAAGGTTCACATAAACTGTTATTCAAATTCGCTTTAGTCAAAGTGACAAAATTTAAACATATCCTTACACAATCTTAACATTTTTGACAAAGAGCGCGTCTCTTTGTTTGTTTTTGTAAAGTGTTTTACAGCGCTTGCAACTGCATAAGGTCATATGAGCGCACGGGACACACCTAATATTTGCAGTTGGTAGGAAATTTTGAATTTTGCCGAGGTGGCGGCCGAAGCCTACTCTTATCGATTTTAGACCACCAAGGGATCTTTAACGTGCGCAACTTGCTCACGGGCCCTCCGAGATTTTTCGCCATTGTCCGAGAAGGCTAGGTGTAGATCTTTCCTACCAGAAGACCAGGGGTGTGGCAGAAAGACAGCAGTAAGGAGGAACCAAGGAGTAGCAGTATAAAGGCTGCAGAAAGAGTCAGGAGCCCGGAGGAGGGAGCAAAGGAGGTGAGGGGGTGGGGGCAGAAAGTGGAAATGAAAGCAGACAACAGAACATTGCTAGAGAGCAGGAAAGGAGGTGAAAGGAGACAATTTTGAGAGAAGAAAAATTTTTCTGTTGCTACCCGGATTCGAACCCGGGACCTTTGAATGAGAGGCCAACACCTTAACCTCTGGGCCACGAGAGCCCCCGCCTGTCTCTTTACCTTCTATCATGTTACCTTAGATCTAAACAATTCAACAAACACATTTTTGACCCGTTAAAACAATCCTTGCACAAAGCCACTGACCAAGGTCAAGAAGCATTTTGAATGACTGCTTAATACTGATCCACATTCGCATCTTGCCAAGAGAAATTGGGGCATAGGTGATGGTGAGAGGCATCTCGGAGGAGCTTTCGTTGATGGGCTGAGGATCAAGAATACAGTCCCGTTAGAACATGAGTACATAGTCGTTAAAAAAAAAAATATTAGCATCAAATCCAACTCTTGATTCAAAATCAAACTAATAATTGATCTTCTGAATTCTTAATGTTGAAAAGTTTAGGGCGCCACATTGCCCCCCCTCCCCCCCCCAATAACAATAACCCCCCCCAAAAAAAACAAACAAACTCTTTTGACTAAAGGTCAAATAAACAGCACACAGAAAACTGTTTACTAAAGTTTGTACATGAAACATTTTATTTTCTCCCTCACATAAAATTTCAATTTCAGCCAAGAAGAGAAGAGCAAAGCTGTAAAATGAAAACATGTAACAGTTTGACAGATTCTATTCATCCTTACCAACAGGTCTTTGATTCTGTACCCTAGCTCATCAATGAACACAATGGGAAGATAGTATTTTCCATCTTTACTCATCCTGAAAGTAGAGGCCAATGGTGATAAAACATGTTTTAGAGTCCTTGCAGAAAACACACTGCAACCATCAATGATTTAGTTATTTCTTCTATAAAAGGAGATGCTGCATCTTAAAACAGCTTTTGGAGGATGCCAGTCATACTAAGAAAGACGTCAGGAGTTAATTCCAATCAAAAGCATAAGAAACGAGTAAGAAAAACTTATTAAAAAGTTACAAATCTACCTTCCAAGGGGTTACTCTTCCATATTTCCCATAAAACAATTGGCAAAATATGTTAAGCTTTATTGAGCAAAGCTTGCAATATAAACAAGTTCTTTACTAATACCCCCCCCCCCCACACACACACGACTGTAATGATATCTCATAATGCTCCTTGTCTCTAGACGTGCCACAGAAGAATATCCAACCAGCTGATAACTGGCACTATCACCAAGCCAACCTTTCTCATGGATCCGGGAGAGGAGGGAGAATCAACTATGGCATTGTTCTGCCTGCAATGATACCTATTCTCCAACAAGTAAGGAAGGGAGGGAGGAAGGGGAGGGACGAACGGACGGCCAGATGGACGGAAGGAAGGAAGGAAAGAAGGAAAGAAGGAAAGAAGGAAGGAAGAAAGCAAGCAATCAAGCACACAAGCAAGCAAGCAAGCAAGACGTGCCAACCTAAGAAGGTGGTAGATCTCTCCTGGCAGCTTATGCCTGTCCAGGGCAATGTCCTCGTCCATGACAGACACTGTCAGACGCTGCCGCCAGTGGGCGTGAGGGACATCGGAGCCACTCTTTGGCTTACCTTTGCCTGAAACTGTTTGGTTCTGAGAAAACAGCATAGAAAGTGACATATGAGAGTTGGAACTGGGTTTTTTTTTTCTGCAAAGTGTAACTATCACTGTGAGACATCACAATGAACAAACTTAGGCAATAATAATAGTACTGAATAGAAGTGGACAGAGAGGACCACAGGTCTACCTGTCAGCCTAATAGCTTTTTTTTTTTTTTAGTATTGGGTTTTACGGCGTTCGCAACTGCATAAGGTCATATGAGCGCTAAGGGGTGGGTGTCAACAGAGAAGTCTTTACAGGGAATCAGACTTACTCTGCTCCCCTCTCTAGCTTCAACAGCACAAGGTCTGCTTCGACTATCAAGGCACCCCGGAAATAGCGAGTCACAAGAGTGTGACAAACATACAAAAGAAGTAGAGAAAAATGACTATAGTAAGGATTAGGAAAGAAAAAGCAGCAGTTTCCAATTGTAGATCAGGCACAGTTATGAGTGTGACATGATGAATAAGCCAATTTACAATTCTACTGTGTTTGAAAGAGTAATCCCCCCCCCCCCTTTGGGAATGGCTTAAAGACACTACAATCAGTGGCACTTCCCCGCGGGGTGCCCAATAGCTGACACTGTTTAGAAAAAGACACTTCAAATAGAAAACACTTAAACCCTGCATTTTACATTAAGGGTAGGACAGAGAACATAATGTACATGGTGATAGCTTAAAATAAAAAAAGGCACAAAATGTCAGGAATTTCTCTAAAGAAACATTCAAAACCATTACAAGCCAACTTCAGCTATTTTCTACAATAATCTGTTTAGCCGCAGAGGCATTCCTTCTCGTGCAATACGTAGCTGTAAAAACAATGGAGTTGTGTGTTCTCTTATAGATCCTTTGAGAACAACTCTAGGAGCTTGGTTCTGAAGTCTTTGCAGTTTATTCATTAGTTCCGTTAGCCTTTAAGAGATAACACAAATGATGACATCAGTGACTTAAGAGATGTCTCACTAAAAAAAGGTGTCATAATTCGTGCAGTTTCTCAGCTCTCTAAATATGCAGTCTTATGTAAAATTTGAACTTTGTGGTCCATAGACAATTTACTGCCAAATGAAGCTCCTAAATTTTGGGCCTTTGCTGTAAAAATCACTTTCTTATTTCCAACAAGATGACCAGTCCCATAAAATTTTGTCACTAAAGACTTTGGGTCACACAAAATTATTTCGGTCTTATCGTTGCTTAACCTAAGCCTGTTAAGATGTCATCCAGGTCTCGACTTCGTCCGTGCATTTCGTCATATTTAGAGATATTAAAAGCATGTTGTCTGGCTCTGAGGAATATACAGCTGGGTGCCATCTGCGCACATATGAAAGGAACTATCGTGACTTCTATTTATGGAATAAAGTGGTGTTGTGCACAAGGTGTATAACAGTGGTCCTAACACAGAGCCCTGTAGTACTGTGGTACCCTGTAATTCAAGCTGTGACTCTTCGCTCCATTTACAAGAACGGACTGTGAATGCCCTCATTTGTTGATGAAGATTTTTTTCATGAGGTATTATCTTTAAAAGGTGAAGGAGGGGAGACAACACCCGAAAAACACTCCATTATTCCTTCTTGTACATACTGGACTTGAAATTTTGCTTGTATCATTTGGTGGAGTATTTTATGCGTTTTAGAAAGTGTTACAGATCATCACAGTACACAGAAGAAGCTTTGTCTCACCTGTGCTGAGGTGTCAGACAGTAGGCTTATCACGGAGGCCTGAGGTAAGGCATATGTTGTGATCTTGGAGGCATCATGAGTGTAGTATGATTTCAAGGGGTCCCCCCCTCGAGGATACACAAAGGTGTGTACATACAAGGTTCCGTTTTTCCGAGTTTTAGCCGGGATAGAGATTTTGAATTCTCTGAAAAAGAAAAGGGATAATTTATTTATCCGCAGTATGACAAGTAATACAAACTATCTTAATTAGTTTTCACAGATGCTCCTTAAATTACCTCTTTTAGCCATCCTGCTGAAAAAACAAAAGCGTGTACCTTTTGCTATTGATATATAGCTAAGAATGTGTCTAAACTGAAAATAAAAGATAACACAAAGTACATTCTCCAGTCAAAGATACACTTCTGATGTTTCAAATCCTGCCATGAAACAAAAATTTGCAAGAACAGTAAAAAAAAGTATCTGAGAAGTTCAACATATCTGGATTCATTGGAAAGATCATAACACTTGGGACAATAGAAAATTTTATCATATACACAAACCAGATCTTGTTACATGCCTACAGCTTGCATTATGTACGTCGTACACTGGTCTTTATAATTTAACATTAATCAAATGGAAAAAAAATAATTACAGAACAAAATTCAAAACCCATAAAAGTGACTCAGCGGAGATCAACTTACTTCTCCACTACTTCTGTGAGCGACAGATTGTCATACTTCCACACAGCTGTCAAGGAGTTGTGAGGACTTGCATACAAAGATGTGGCCACATAAAGCTGGGGAGAAAAACAAAGAAGAGACAAACGCCAAGTTAAATATCTTCATACATCAAAGCTCTTTACGGACAAGCAGGAGGACAGTGTGTCTTTCTAGAATTCACGGCTCCACAAGAGGAACATATGATGATATATGTCATGTACTTAATCTTATCTGTTAAATTGCAAAAAGGGGTGAAGATACCTTCTTTGCCAGTTCTCATACACTTGCAGATGAGACAGGGACAACACACAAACCTGACAATGGGAGTAGTAAAACGGACTCACAGTGGTTCCAAATACCTTTAAAAGTCCACTTTCTCTCTGGCCTGCAGTCTTACTTTGCGTACGATAACTGATGAGATGGTTACATAATAGCTCTCTGGAGCTTAATTTAACTGGCTTCATATTTCATATTGTAATATAATATAAAGTCAGATTACATAAATGTATTCAACTTCAAGAGAAATATATGAACAGGCTACATTTTCCATTTTGCGTACTGAGTACAGACTACAATATGAAGGAGTAAAATTTTAACGACTGGGCAGTAACAGTTATTTGTACACTGTACTCTAAACAAATTTTAAAACCTTTTGTAGAATTTTTCAGGTCAGGGCTCACAAACTGCAAGTCAAGGCATACAAACTTCTAGTCAATACTACAACCTAAAAACACTTCTCAGCTTTCTGAAAAACAAAAAAGAAACCCAAAAATAATTTCCAAAGTACAGTATTATATCTTGGCCGCTTCCAAAAACTAAAGAAATGCCTCAACTTACTTTACTTTTACCTTTTCATCCTCTGCTGCCGTTAAGAGTCGAGGGGAGATGCAGTTTTCTATGGCAGCCCAGCTCCACAGCTCTTTCAGTTGTGATATTAAGTTTTTTCAGGGTTTGCTTGACACCCTCAATCCACCTTTTGCATGGCCTTCCTCTTCCTTTATAGCCTGAGTGCTTGGCGTTGTAGGCTCTCGAGGCTGGCTGCCCCGGTGACATACGTAACAGATGGCCAAACCATTTTTATTCTGTCTTTCTAAGAAATGCAGGCAGGACTCAGTACCAATAGCTGCTCTTACTTCTTCATATTCTCTGCCTGTCTCGTCTTGTGATGTTAAAGGTTTTGCATGCAGTGATTTTGTTTTCATGGGTGTTATTTAATGTCCAGGTCTGGTACTGGTAGCATAATGTTGGTATGAATATTGAAGTGATAAGCTGTCTCTTTGTGTCCAAGGAGATATTTGGATGAGATAGGAGGGGTGCGAGCTGGTACGTGACAGCGTTGGCTTTTTGAGTTCACATTTCTATTTCTCTGTCTACGGACAAGTTTTCAGAAAAAGTGCTGCCAAGACATTTTAAACTCCTTCACCTGTTTCAGTAGTTAATAACTGACATGGACGTTCAGGGGACTATGGTTTAGGTTCACTTTCATAACTTCTATTTTTGATGTGCTTATTTTAATGTTAAATTTCTCGCAGCTGTTTTTCAGTTCGGTAGTGTGATTTTGGAGGCTTTGTTGGTTTGGATGAAAAAAACATTGGTTGTCTGCGAATAGAAGTTCATTTAGGCTTTCTGGGCTTTGGTTTCAATCTTGCGTTATTGTTTCCATATATTCAGGAGGGAAGATAGAATGCATCCCTGTCGTACTCCAGATCTTACTTTGAACCAGTCTGTATTACTTCCTTTGTTCTTACTGAGCTTCTGCTGTTGGTATGTAGAACTCTAACATTATCTAACAGCTGTCCTCTGATGCCATACTTTTCGAGTTTCTTCCAGAGTTTTGCATGGTTTACTCGGTCAAAAGATTTCTCTTGGTTTATAAAGGTGATATTGGATTCTTTGTTGTGTTTGATAGTTTTCTCGCATAGCTGTCATAGCGCGAACACAGCATCCGTGCATCCTCTTCCTTTTCGGAATCCAAACTGAGCTTCTCTCAGATTTCTCTCTACTATAGGTCTTATCCGCTGCCTCAACAAACATACAAAACTCTGCACTTAGGGAAAAAAAAGTAATGAATGATACTTACCCCTAATTTTGGATTCGACTCCAAGAAGGATTTCAAGCATTGGTTGCCCTTGGTACATGAAGGAGGCTTGAAGATCCCGTACATTATGTACACAGTGTAGGCCAAGTAGCCCGCAAATGCTCCCAGCGCTATCTTCGTCCATGGAAAACCCATGACGAGAGACAAAGGTTTCTGTGTCTGAAGGCACACTTTAAAAGGGGAACTAGACCTGTAGAAAGTGAATAAAAAAAATAAAAAATGATCGTTTAACTGCCATGGGAAATTTTTGTCATTTCATTTGATTGGATCAGTTGAAGTACAGAGTGGAATGTTTCACTCAACCCAGAACAGACCTTTCCCAGTCGCATAGAACAGCAGGCCTCCTGACAGGATACCCAGCAGAGAAGATCATGCTGAATGATAAAAACTTGGACCTCAATAAGAAAGGAACATTGAAATTTCATGCGTTGAGCAATCTTATATTTTCTTTCTGCAACCATTCTACTGCGACTCCATGGCTCCTTCTTACTGCTGTCTTTCAGCCACACGCCTGGTCTTATGGTAAAGATCTAACACCTAGTCTTCTCGGATAAGGGCGAAAAATCTTGGAGGTCCCGTGAGCAAGGTGCGAACCTTAAAGATCCATTGGTGGTAGTAAAATCAATAAGAAACTGAAAATGTATGTGTCATGCGTGTTCATATGACTTTATGCAGTTGCGAGAGTCATGAAATACTTACCCCCAAAATTTTTTAAATCTTATATTAAAATAATATTCCATTATAATATCAGTCAAAGTCAAAATTAGAAGATTGATATTTATCCCCATCAAGATGAAACACTAATCAACTGAGGGAAGAATATTTTTGTCAATCTCTCAGTTTTGCCCCAAGAATAGTGAAGTATCAAAAGTAACTTGATGGGATAGGGTTAGGTAAGAGTAGCAAATATCCCTTACTATGAGACAGTTCACTCCTCTCTCTTTGACCAACTTAAAAAAGTCCTCATAATTGCTGGTGGTGCCACCTGAGAAAACATGCGGACTAAGAGAACAGTTCACTATGAGAAAACATTACGTGGTAAAATTACAATTTTTTATTTATCCCTCTCATTGCAATTTCAAGCAATGAAAATTTTAAGATCAAGTTTTACTTTGAACTTGAGATGAATGTAGTAAAGTGAAGCACAGATAGATCTGCGCACATTTCATGTAGGCACGCCCCCCTAACCTTATAAAAATTGGGGGCATTTCAGAGGGGCATGTTCCCCTGCAAGTAGGTTTGATTTTTTTTCTGCAGTGACTACGTTCACGGCACCTTGAATGTTGTTTGAAGGCTATGTTCATGGCGCCCTGAATCATCCATCATTGGCAGAGAGGCACAAACTGAAACACTACTGTAGCTCAAACTCAAAGTAAATGAGGAAACAGCACAGGAATGCTCGCGTGAAAAATAAAGCAGCGGTGGTCTGAATGCAATGGAGTTTGTGGAAGGCGAAGGAGGGCACAGCAATTTTTGACAAGGCCTCCCTTGCTCAGCGCGCGGAACACGACTTTGATCCTCTTCCCATGTGCAGACCCCACAACGCTCGACAAATTTGAAAATAAAAATCGTTAGAAGAAACATGGGTATTTTTATAGAATCACTCCCGTCTCGCATTACATCCACTACCAGAAGTCAGCTTCTTCGCCACTTTAGTGCCATCGGATGATGAATAAGGTCAGTTTTTTAAGTTTAAGGCTTAATTTCAGGGCTGTTTTGTTTTTTCATTTTCGCTTTTGTAGTCATTAGGGGGG